ATCACGGAACTAGCTCCAATACTGATGTTGGCAAAGGGACCAGCGTGCACCAAAACGGGCGTTCCCTCCAAGCTTTGCATGAGATTAGGCTTGATGGCGTCCTTCATAAGGGCAGCAAGAGCACCACCGGCGCCAATGTCGTCGCAGGTGACGGGATCACCACTCCTCGATGTAGCAACGACCATCCGACCCAGTCTGTCGCGCATATCCGCCAGGCTGTTGCTCAGAGCCAGGATGGCCATACACTCACTAGCGACGGAGATATCGAAACCAGTTTCACGGGTCAGTCCCTTCTCCGTAGGTGCCTGTCCAACAGTAATGCCACGGAGGTGTCTGTCATTGACATCCAGGACACGGCGCCAAGTAATGGTTTCTGGGTCGATATCAAGGCGCGCGAACCGACGAATCTCCTCATCGGTCAGTTCGTCAGGGTTGGTCTTGGTGATACCCAACTTATTCAGTCTCTTGAACATGACAGGTTGGAATTCGCGCTTGCCCTTCTTGGCGGGGACCAATCGCTTGTAGAGGGGGCCATCCTTCTGGGTTGCTTCGTGGAACATGCGGGTTTCGATAGCGGCGGCAAGAAGGTTGTTCGCAGCAGTAATCGCATGAATATCACCAGTGAGATGCAGGTTGAATTCATCCATAGGAATCACCTGACTGTAGCCACCACCGGCAGCTCCGCCCTTGATGCCGAATGTAGGGCCCTGGCTGGGCTGACGAACATTGGCGAACACAATGCGATTCAAGTGCGCACCAATAGCCTGGGTAAGACCCAAAGTAGTTGTCGACTTGCCCTCACCAAGCGGGGTTGGGGTAATACCACACACCAAGATGTACTTTCCATTGCGGCGGTGAGCCAAGCGATCGAGAACGTCGAGACTAACTTTAGCTTTAGTATGACCGTAAGGCTCGAGCTCGTGGGCAGCAATGCCAACTTCTGAAGCAACCTGTGTGATTGCCTTGGGGTACTGTGCGCGGGAGATGGCAATGTCAGAAGGCACAGGGCGAGCCAGCTTGAGTGGCAATGGGGTGATATGTCTGTCCTTCTGCTTCTCGAAGTAGGCCTTGGCAGAGTGAACCACATTCTGCATCAGCATAGCCACCGTCATGGGACCGACACCACCAGGCACGGGGGTGATCTGAGAAGCCACCTGAACGGCGGACTCGAAATCGACATCGCCGACCAGTCGCTGGCCCGACTTCTTTGAAGGATCGGCCTTGTAGTTGATACCGACGTCAATGACAACAGCACCGGGCTTCAACCACTCGCCCTTGACAAACTCCGTCTTTCCAAGGGCGGCGACGAGAATGTCCGCCGTCTTGATGATACTTTCGACGTCAGGGGTCTTGCTGTGACACAGAGTCACGGTTGCGTCTGCCTTGTTCAAGAGATAGCTAACAGGGCTGCCAACAATATCACTCCGACCAAGCACCACTGCCTTCTTACCCGCAGGGTTGACTCCACTCACTCGCAGGAGCTCCATCACGGCCTGTGGGGTGCAAGGAACAAAGAGAGGGTGGCCGCCTCTCTTGGCTAGTTCACCGATATTGACTGCGCCGAAGCCGTCAACATCTTTCTCGTCGGCCACGGCAGAGGTGATGGTATGTTCAGACATGTGTTGCGGAAGGGGCAATTGGACAAGAATGCCGTGCACGGAGGGGTCATTGTTGGCCTTGATGATATCCTGAAGGAGCTCGGATTCGATAGCAGTCTCTGGAAAATTGACAATCTTGCAGCTGATGCCCGCCTAAACGAAGAGAGTTGGTCAGCCAGGTGAGAAGCATTGCGGAAGTGGGGGGAGCTTACCTCTTCGGCGGCCTTTAACTTCATGCGCACATATGTGCCTTAAAAAAGATTAGTGGACATTCCAGAACCTAAAGTGTGTTATGCAAAGCACTCACTTGAATCCGATCTGCTGCCCACTATATACAATACATGGTCAGCAATTCCGTACGTTTGGGGGGTGGGTTAGCCGGTTATGAGTCCATAGGAAGGCGCACCCTGGAAAATAACCAAGCTAGGCTTGAATCTGGGATTAGACTCCTGGATCTGCTGGATCTCATTCTTCAGACCCGCCCGAATATCCTTGGCGATCTGCGTGCCATCGATCTTAGTGGCTGCCATGGTGGTTCCGGTGCTGTAGGATGAGCGACGGATAGAGAACGGCGTCGCAGTGAAGCCCTTATAACCTGTGGGGTTGTGTTGGAGGGCCCGTAAAGTACCGTAATTAAGTGAGCCGACCCCGCGCCCTGCGGAGGATTCTCGTGGTCTGAGGAGAAAGAAGGGTGCGATCCGGGGAAAGGAGAGGGGGAGAGGTGAGGAGGTATGGAGGTGACGAGAATTGAAGAAGAAACATTTTGCTTTGGCACCTTGGTGGTGTTGGAAGTGGCAGCGGGGTAGCGCCGCCGAACGGGCGGGGGAGCTAAATGGCATTGATTTGCTTCGTCGGAGACTTTGGCTGGGCTGACCAGCAGCAAACCCTCGGGAAACACAGGGAGGAAGAATTGGAGATAGGGAAAAACGCCCGTCAACCCCAAGGGATTACCTAAACGTGTTGAATAACACGCAATTAAGATTATGCTTTATACAGAAAATGAATCGGGGATTCAACCGTGCAACCATCCCTGCCCGTCTCCGAAATCTCCAATTTCTTCATCTCAGGGATTTCGTTTCAATATCTTCATTTGGGGGTCAACATGTCTAGAAGTTTGTTTGGGTTGCACATGATCGGCCCGTCATTAAAAGTCGGAGCGTTAAAGGGGACTTGGCAACGAGTCAGCCCGAGGGGAACCGACCTTTCTCACCCAACTATGCCTAGTATGGACAAGACCTCTGTAGTCAGTCACTCATGGGTGAGTCAACAATCTAGGGCTGTCGAAAGTCACGCGGATAGATTACCATACCGGATTATCAATGTGCCGATACAGATATTTTTCAAGACAGGAACAGCCTCGAACAGGAAAAGTCTTGGCGCGCGAGCCCGGACTGTGCGATGAAATTCACTAGTCTGACTACGCCGACGAAGAGAGCCGCCAGCAGCACCCCGCCAGCAGTTCCGCCTCAGAAACGATACAGTCGGTCCCAGGATCCAATCTGTGATCTTATACCTCAAATTCTCTCGTCGCTTTCCCCTAATATCATAGCTTGGTCGGCCCAATATGAGGCCTATTTTGCTTTCGGGCCATGTGCGTGCAGCCTTACAACCATCCCGATGATTCTCTTTTTCCACGGCAATGAAAAATAAGAAAAAACAGAACCAGCCACTGACAGAGACTTTGCGCATAGGAACGGTCCCTCAACCAGATCAAATTCAACCGCGATGGCGACCTTTTGTTTTCTGTAGCGAAGGATAAGATTGTGTGCGCTTGGTGGTCGGCTAACGGCGAGCGACTCGGTACCTATAACGGACACCAGGGTGCTATCTGGACCGTCGATGTGAGCCCCAACACCGTTCTTCTGGCCACCGGATCGGCCGACAACACCGTGCGACTATGGAACGTGAAGACTGGCGAGTGTATCAAGGTGTGGGATTTCCCTACAGCTGTCAAGCGGGTCGAATTCACTCCGGATGGAAGCAGGCTGCTGGCCGTCACAGAGAAGCGTATGGGCTTCTTGGGTACCATCGCCGTGCTCGATATCAACTATGAGGACTTGGAGGCTCAGGCTGAGGAACCCAGCTTGAGAATCACCTGCACAGAGAGCAAGGCAACAGTTGCGGGCTGGAGTTATTTGGGCAAGTACATCATTGCTGGCCACGAGGACGGCAGTGTCAGCCAGTACGATTCGAAGGTGCGCAAAAATCGATCAAGGAAAAACAAAACAGGAGGCCGTGCTAATAGACCGTTGTAATAGACCGGTGAGCAGCTGGAGAACGTTCAGGCACACGAGTTCGACAACTTGATCAGCGATATTCAATTCTCCCCAGACCGTACATATTTCATCACTGCTTCCAAAGACAAGTCCGCCAAGGTATGCCACTTCCTCGGAGACTGGTAGCACGGCAGTATACTAACTTGAGTCCAGCTCATTTCCAGCCGTAACCTCGCCATCCTCAAGACCTATGTTGCCGACACACCCCTCAACAGCGCAGCTATTACGCCCAAGAAGGAATACGTGATCCTGGGTGGTGGTCAGGCTGCTATGGATGTCACTACTACCTCCGCTCGTCAGGGTAAATTCGAAGCTCGTTTCTACCACAAGGTCTTCGAAGACGAGATTGGCCGTGTCCGTGGCCACTTCGGTCCCCTCAACACTGTCGCTGTCCACCCCGCCGGTACCTCCTACGCCTCTGGTGGTGAGGATGGTTACGTTCGTGTTCACCACTTCGACAAGCCCTACTTTGATTTCATGTATGAAGTGGAGAGGGAGCAGCTGCGCAAATAAAGTGATTGGCGTTTAAAAAGAGCTTTTTTCCAATTAACGCATGTGTCATGAGGCAAAGACATTTCTTACCACAAAAACAGAGTAGAAAAGGTAAAGCAGGCACGGCGGTACGAGAAGTTCTCGGGGCGATTTAGGGCATGAATTCTCATTTCATTGATTCCATGATAAAGTCGGAGTTGGTACCATTTTCCTTTTTCTGGTCGCTTTCTGTGTCCTAATAAAAGAACCCAGTATTTACTTCTTACAATTTTGCTTCAAAGTTCATACTTCATCATCATAAATATATCTCTTCGTTGGCAATTTGCTGGGTAGCACTCTATCATATCTAGATATAAACCATATAAACCCCAACATCCTTCAACAGCATCACGATTTCTTTGAGGTAGTATTTTATATGAAAAAGAAAAAGAAAAAAAATCATCTCAATGCCAGGTCAGCGCTCTTCCGACCAGCAGAAAGTAATGGGGATCTCATTGCACAATAAAATGCATTAACGTAACAACCGAAAGGACATCCGGGGACATCAAGAAGGAAAAGGAAGGAAGAGAAGGGTTTCATAAAAAAAAGTATCCCATCCCGTCAAGAAAAAGCCGCAGGCTCACCCCCGGTCAATTTACTTTTTCTTGGGGAACTTCTCCTTTCCGATGTCTGAGCCTCTCAGCTTGATGTTGAGCACACGCTCCATCGCACTGAGGACCTTCTGGTCGGGGGTGGCGGTACCCTTCTCGAAGTCCTGGACCATGGTGACGGTGGTGTTGCACTTGGTGGCAAGTTCCTTCTGTGTCATCTTGTAGCCCTCCTCGGTACGTCGCTTCTTGATAGCGTCTGCAACTTGGTAACCAACGGTCTTGGGCTTGATGATGTCGTCGCTGCGGTCGACCTTGGTCAGGTGCTGACCTTCAATAGAACCAGTTTTGGAAGCCTGTGAATGCAAGTCAGCGCTATGGCCTCGAAAATAAAGAAAATCGATACCGCGCGGGGCTAAGATCAAGTAGATTACTTACAGCATTGCCAGTGGCGTACTTCTTCTCAGTTCCGATAACAAGACCCTGGCGCTGAGCGGCGTTCAGGGCGCTCTTGCCCTTGACGACAGTCTCACGAGGAGCGGCACCGCCAGCGCGGTGCTTGCTTCCAATGCGAGTAGTAGAGCTCCAGTCATCCATTTTGAAAGAGTTTAGAAGAGGCTCGAAGAAGACTTGATAGGGAGGAGAATGGTGGGGTTGTGTGTTGAGGGATGGGGAGAGTGACGAAGGCGGTAAAATTGGATCGCGTGAGGTTGTGGCTAAAAAGAAGGGATGTCGCAGGCCCGCCGAATTTATATCAATGACACAGAAGCTTCTCGAGCCACGATGGCGGAGTCAGAGGGGAGGTTATGCCCTAGTCCTATTTCGGTCCCCTCTTTGGGTTCGGCCCCACTGACATCATCCGTTCATTCGCTCGGACTTTTTCTCGCCCTAAATCCGTTCCTTACTTTGATGGCAAATCCAAACCTACTTGTACGTACCATATGGATCATTTGCCACGATGATCAAAGCTTGACTGGTTAGTTACTTTCAGTAATGAGTCTTTCCGGTGACTGGGACCCTTCTTCCAAAATGTATGGATCACTGTATCGCACTAATATTCTGACTCGTCCTTATATGTATATATCGAGGGACACCAAAATCTCAGAAAGAGAAAAAGAAAAGAAAGAAAGAAATATTCACAATAAACAGACTCATGGCGCTTTTGCAAAGGCTGCTTCTAGAAGCTGTACACACTCAGTGGGATATGACTTTTGCGCCCATTCAAGCGCCGTGGTCCCGCTTAACATCCTTTTGTATATATCTGCCCCAGAGTCCAGCAAGAGCTTCGTGATTTGCGTATATTCATTCCGAGCCGCAAACATAAGAGCAGTGCAGCCATCATGGGTTTGCATATTGACATTGGCTTTCTCTGAGAGTAGATAACTCACCATCTCGATGTTATTTTCTGATGTTGCCAACATCAAAGCTGTGAATCCCTCATCATTACTTAGGTTGATATTCGCTCCATGCCCTAAAAGTATCCGGGCTACAGCGGCATTGTTTCCCATTGCGGCGAATAGCAAAGGAGTCTGCCCGCCACTACTCCGAGCATGTATATTAGCACCCCGGCGTAGAAGCAGGGAAACCAAGTCTGAGTTGCCCGCATAGCTAGCAGTCATCAATGGTGTTTCTCCATCGGCGCCCCTTCCGTCGACGCTAGCACCCGCGTGAAGTAGTTCTTGAACTGCCTTTTGATTTCCCAGTGCACATTCGCGGATCAAGGCAGTTAGCCCCTCCTCTGACTGCTCTTGCATGTTAATGTCTACCCCATGTTGGCGTAATGAAGTAAGTGCTGATCCGTATTCTCCTTCGGCAGCGGATATGATGATGTTGTAAATGAACCCTGGACACTGTCTATCATACTCTATCCATCTCGTGATGATCCAGTCAAGAAGTGCCTGGTGACCATTTTGGCACACCCAATCCAATGCAAGACGATCATCTATCTTGTGTAACTCATGGCTGGGATGTGATTCTTCGCTCTTGGTCAACCACCGGAGCACTGCCTGTTGCCCTATCTGTCCCTGGCCTTCATCATCATTTGCCTTGGCCACTGGTATGGAGCTTTCATTGATGCTCAGTGACTGCAATGTTTGTTGAATGGTGTCTCGATCGTTATGCCTCTGCACAGTATGCCACGTAATCCACCCTAGTTGGAGGGATATTGCTTTCCAGTGTTCTGGCCTCTTGTTTTCGTCCATCCATCCGGTTGGGCGACTATTCCTCAGGTTTCTGATAAATCTCGTTCTCGGATCAATCTCTATCGCTCGGTATGTATATTCACACCCTTGTTTCTGTATATTGGGGTCACCATCTAGCATTGCACGGCGACAAAGATAACCGAGTGAAAACATAGAATGTTCAAACTCTGCTCCCTCGCTCCTCTCACAAAGCCACCATAATACTGCAAATGCTTCCGTCCAGTTGCTGCTGGCGACAAGCTCGTCTATACGAGCCCTGACGATCTTCGAATTTCCGGCAAGTTGCGGTAAAAGATCTCTATACCTCAACACGGGAACAATACACAGCAATGCGTCCTCTCTGGTTCCTAATTTTCCTGCTTCGAAGCAGTTCACAAGGTCGTCGAGGCGGTTGTTATATGCAATGTACCCATTCTGGGAACCGGGCAGTATAGTGGTATCACCGCCAATCTCCGGTAAGTTTCCAAGGACACATTTGATGCATTGAATGTAAATATCTTGAGCAGCTGTGGTTTCTAGTGGATTATCGGTCTTCACAACTAGTATCTCTGTGTCCTTGAGATATTCGTCTGCGTAATACCCGAACATGCGTTGTGGCAGACAGATCATCTTCGACGATACCAACTTTGCTTCTCTCTGGCGGAAAATCCATTTGTGGAAGTAAAGGTCAGTGTCTTCTGCTCTGGCCTCGGAGTCGTTTAGTCCTACAAGTCTACCGAGTTTGTCTTGTAACCACTCTGGGCTGGAGGCCAGCAGTGACCACGTCCATAGCCCCAGCACCGCCTCTAGCTCGTTTTGTTGGACTCGCCACTGCAGGGTATCATCTGCTCTTTCGAGGTGGATTGTGTAGCTTTCAAGGTTAGGTGCAACAAACTTGTGATGAGATTGACATACAAGCTCAAGGTCAAAGCTGTCCACATCCTTTGGCGCGTGCTGCCAAGTTGATAATAAGTCCATCGTCGCTTCGATTGCCTGGGCCAAATTCTGAGCAGCCTGTCGAATAGACATATCACTCCAAGCCATCGAGTTAGTGCTAGAAGTCAGATTCGCGAGTTGCATTCTCGTTTGAATGAGTCTAGTTCCCAGTCTAGATGTTTGTCCTGAATTTCCAGACGCAACGGACCGGAGGCTGGGTTGGTATTGCGACGAGGATCTTACTATGCCAGGGACCAGGCTAAATGATTTCACATCCTCGAGGTGAAATGCAAAGCAGTCTAATTCTTGGCTCTTGTAAGACGCAAGCTGCTGTTCTGGCTTAGTGAGGCGGTTTTCCTTCGAGCTGACCCTCTTTGTGCGAAGACATGTTCGAACGATAGCCATCACAAGCGTAGAACCCATCTGAGCTAGGGTCACTGACGAATGTAGTCCTCGAAGACCAACAAATTGAGCCACGAACCCGACCAGTGTAATCGATATAGTTAGCGACAGTATATACCAATTGCCTTCGAATGCGTGATCCCGTATCGATTTTATATATATGAGATCTTCAGTCGGTTGAGAGTCAGGTCCCTCGTTAACTCCAAGGAAGGAACTGAAGACTTGGTCGCCGACATGCTGGCCCCCGGGCTGCAACCAATAAATTTTGCTGGGCTTGACTGGATGGAAGTAAAGCTCCCTCGACGAGCGCTCGATAATCAAGGCACAGAGAAACATCCCTGTGCAGAGAGAAATCGTGCCAATAAGGAAAAGGGGGAGTGCATAGTTTTCCACCGGCTGTCCATCCTTCTGAAAATCGACCGGATATATAAGAACGGTCACTGCGGAATACGCAAGCACACCTGAAATACTTGTCAGCTATTCATTGCCAATCAACACCAAGGCAAAGTTAATCGCCTAAACAACGTACCGATCTGCAACACAAACCCAAGAACAGCAGCACAGTAAAACCAACCTTGGCTCCTCCTCGCAATACCCTTGTTCAGTGATAGATTTGGTATTTCGAGCTCTGGTAATGAGTAGTCCTCCTCATGGAGACTCAGCCCTCCATTTTTGTGGTCCACACGCCCTGCACTAGAGCGTCACGCAAGGTCCCTGTCTTCCAGCAGTCCTCTTTGCTTACGGGATCTTTATCCTTCCATACCACTACCTCCAATAGCCGAGGGCGTCCAAAAACCCGGGATATGCCGCCATTGTTAAATAATTCAGCCGTGGTCTCCGAGACGCATGACAACAGCTCGTGCTCTGCCTCTCCGGGACCCTCCTGCGCCCTCCCAATGAATGCTCGCAGAGAGGGATTGCCGCAGACTCGGATGGCAGAGACTGTGGCTGTCAAAATCCCAAGCGGAGCTAGGGCAAAGATAAAGTTGTCTAGGAGGCTAATAGACTCCGAGAGAAACTGAGTTGTAAGTCGTTCTCCAAAGAGAGATATCAACGGAGCCTGGTAATCTCAACGTTAAACCAATGCTAGTACACATAGTAATGCAGAGAAAGCGCGCCTTACCAGGTCCGTAGCAAGATTATCCGTAAAGTTATCCCAGCCACTTGCCCTTACGGTAGGTATTATAAAACCTGCAACAAGTACGATATGACTAAACATGGCGATGGGAGCACGGTATATACGACAAGAAGAACCGAATTTGAGAAAAATTCTAAAAACAAAGCATCCTTCTTGTACGACCTTGGGTTTATATTGTAAGCGCCCTCATACAAACGACTGCGCTACTCATGCATAGTGCCCAAGGACCCCGGTCGGCCACATCAGCCTTGCAAGGCGCCTACTGGCAAGATACATGGTGAAACTCGACATGGTGTAGTAGTGGCGCTTCGCCAGCTTCCTAGAGAAAGAATTATCCAATATTTGTCCATAGTGACGATGCCGAATAAGTTTGCGCCAGCCTGCTGGGTCTGTCTTCTAGTTGTGGAGACGTGCATGATCGCCGGCGCTTAAACATCCAACGTGGCGCGCTGGACTCAAATTTCTTCTGCTAGTGGGGTTTCAAGTGGCTTCGAGTGGAAAGCTTGCTAGGGCGGATCTAGAGGATATGAGGGAGTTACAAGATAGCACCTGGCACTGCATGGAGGGCGGGGTTGGATTGGGAGGCCTCAGGCATTATTTGGATATCCTCGTCGCTGGATTTGCACCAATATTTGATTTACTCCTATTAGTTATCCGTTCATAGAATTCAACTAAGGCTTCACAGATCATTGCATGGAAAGTCGCATTCTGATAATTGTATTAACGTCGTGGCTATGGATCATGCTATAAATAACCCGCGACATACGGTTCCAAAATAATCCCCATTAGCCAAACTGAACGAGGCTCCCGAGCAGCAAAAGAAAAGACACCACCAACGCCATTCCCAGAAACAAAAGGAGTGAGAAACGGATTCAACACGCATGGTATCCAACTTGAGACCCCTCCGGTATTAATGAAAGCTGGAAAAGCGAGCACACTAAAAAATGCTATTCACAATGTTGGAACCGATAGTAGCACCGGCACCGAAGATAGCTAGACGAGTGATAGTCAGTCATCACGAATATGCCACGGGTTATTAGGGAACGTACCGGCATTGCCCATCTTCTTGCCAAACTTCTTGCCCTGCTCTTCAAACTTGCCGGTTTCTTCTCCTCCGGATTTTCGGCGGAGCCACCCTGGCTGACTTCGAGGGGCATATTTCCGTAACCCGAAGGAGGAGCTGGCGCCGCCTTGTCTTCTATCACGCTCACATAACTACGAGGGAAGATACCCTCCAAGTTGGTCCGCTCGTTACGACCACGCCACCCTGTAGGCCATTATTAGTCAAGTGCCAGCAGTTTCGGGCGACCGGAGTTCCTTACAATCGGCATTCATGTGCTCCAGCACTTGAACCCGGTCATGGGGCTGGAGGGCCAGATCACCGGGATCCGTTGGAGTGTAAGCGTAGAGTGCATTGGCGACCGAGAGCACTGGAGGAGCTTGGGGATAAGCAGGTGGTGGAGGAGTATAATGCTGTGGGGGCGGTTGATAGGCGGCCTTCTCGTTCAACGAGGTATTGGCAAATTGTTGGGTTGGAGGAGAGTATGGAGCTGGAGAAGGCTGGATGGGAGTTGGGGCTGCAACTGGGGGTTGGTGCCGCTGGACAGGTGGCTGCGATTGAGGTACAGAGACGGAACGTTCAGAGGTGGAACGTTCAGTGTTCTCCTGGGGTAGTTGGGATACAATCGAGGACAGTTGTTGCGGAGTGATGACCGACGCATCCGCAAGGAACTCAAGTTCCTAGAATAGATGAATGGGGTTAGCGATATGTTACGGAATATTATGTATCAGAATATAGTAGAAGTGCTATTCCTGAAGCGCAAGGGAGAGTGCTATACCAATCGGACAGTGCGCAGCGACCGGTTGGTCATGGCGGTCATGAAGTTGTTCTGGGACGCCATGGTCGGCAAAGAGAAGTAAGAGAGCGACGGGAACTGAAAGGAAATTCAATAAAGAGAGGTGGACGTATGTTAAAACCACGGAGGTTCAAAATTTTCGAAACGAGGAATAAGTTAAAAAAGAATGATGGGCGGTGCTTAGTCCAAAAAGCCGATAAATGCGCTCCAAGGGAAATGGAAGACGTTCCTGACGCCCCAGTCGGATCGGTCGGGGCAAACGCTGGTCATTGGCCTTTTGCCTCTCAGTCTTTCCATGTCTGCCTATCCTTGCCAAGCATCATTGAAACATCCCTCTCAAGGTCTCTGATACTACTTCTAGTTATCTGTCCTCTCACAGTTTGATGAATAGGAATGTACCAGTTCTTCATATCAGAATCTCTCGCCTATATTTACGGGGATATGCCATCTACGCTGCAGTTTGGTCACATTTGGTGTCCCAATCTATGAAGGTCTGCTCCGCTCTATTGTCTCCGTGGCACACCTCGAGTATGCCCCATTTATAGGTGCTACCTTGAACTAGTTTTCTAGGCATAATGGAGATGCTCATGTCTGTTTCACCTAAGCACCCCTTTACGTTCAATGTGAAAGGTTTTTTATTATCACGCAACCATTAGTTTCCTCCATTAATTGGAGCAGTGACTGCTCTCCTGAGTGTTTCCCTAATTCTCATATCAGATAACATTTTACGGAGTACATGAGGGCGAGAAATGATACCGTATGCTTCCGGCCATGTACAGCAAGAGTCTACTTCGCACCTTATGAAGTCGGAGCCTCAGCCCGACGTGATGCGGTAGTGATGCCGTTAACACCGGTATACAAGGCCTGGATTCCTGGACTAGGTAGAAGCTTGACGGAAAATTATAGCAAACCCCTCCATCCCTTACATGCAATAGTGATCAATAGCAATTTCCAGTCCATGTATACCATCTGGGCGATTCCATGTGGAGCGACGGTCGAGATACCCATGAGACCGTACTATTGTCGTAAACAACCTTAGATAGCCATGTTCAAGTAAGGATTAAAATCGGTTATCGATATTTGCCTAGTATATTGGACGATTTGACCCAGCCATGGTTGAAACATTGAGATCTGTAGATTTAATTGTTGGGAATATCTTAGTAGTCATGGTTTATCTCGGCGCAGGTCGCCTGTTGATGTATGCACGTGCATTACAAATATGGACACATTACCTACGTAGGGCTTGCCATCGGCGGTAAAAGCAAACTACAGATAGGTTGTATATGGTTTACACGCATTTAGCATATAAACCCAGAGAATCAAACACTATCTTGTCCAAGAGAGCGCTGGCTATTGTGTAAAGTTGCCAAGTGGTTGGCCAGAACCTAGCCCTACCCCACTTGTTGCCCCCTCCAAACGTTTTCTGATACTTGATGGCATCCCCGCAGAGCTCTCCTCTGATTCGACTCGAGTCTTCACTTCGAAGACCACTGGCCGGGCCATTGAGGACTCTGCAACTATGGGGAAATTGTATCTGATTGGCCGGAAGGCGACCATCAAAGACGATGTTCCGTCTCAAGTTCGACATGATCGGCTGGACGTTGCTGCAGGTCGTATCACAGACTACTCCTCTAAGCGCCGACTTGGATCCTTTAGATCAATCAGATCGCAAGAACGGCATATCCTCAGCGCTTACAGAGACCATTGGATGCCTGTGCTTGTGTCTGCCGTCTGAGCTCGGAAGCTATATTAACAACGCAAGAAACTGCTTTGGAGAGTTTCTTTTATTCCCATGTATCTCGACTCATATTCAATGCCGTACTATTCGAGCTTTAGACAATCTTGAACAATCAAGCCCCTTCTAAGTCACTGAAACTATTTTTGATCTTTTCTTGGTTTTTCTGTTTTATCCTTCTTTCTTCCAAAGCGGCAGTAATTCAGAAAAGGAGATAGTCGCGACTTTTCCTTAAGACAAGTACGCATACAGCGAAAGACTGAAAAGGGCCTCAAATCTTGAAAAATGGCGACTCCCTATTTCCCTCCACCACCAGGTCAAGAATCTCAATTCCCTCGTAGGTCGACCTGATCACTCTTATTTTCCCCTTGCTCTTCTTTGGGGATAATACTAACGGTATTCTTGACCTCAGCCCCTCAGAGAGCCGCAAGTACGATAATATCTCGTTTTCTATATTGAAAATGGTCTTACCTGTGATATAGCGTTCCAGTCGCACCCCCACAGAGTCTCAGATGTCTCTGCGCCTGACTTCGATTTCCCTGCGCCGCAGAGGCAACAGACAGCGCCGACAGTGACACCGCCGCCGACTGATATTAACTCCGCAGCGTTTGCTGCAAATGGATATAACACCAGTCCATTTGGGCCAACCCCAGTGCAACCTCCCCAACCTTCCCCGCCGCCGTCGCTTCCAGTAGCCGTACAATCCCCGTCCGCTCAGATCCTACCCGCTACTAATCAAGATGATGTCGGCACGTTCAACGGCGGGAGTTACAGAATCAGTCACCGGGACAGTAATTCGATCCTTACCATGCAGCTAGCGATGGGATGTCCAATAGAAGCGAAGCCAGGTAGACACCATGCCCCTCCATATTTTGGACTGAAGTTTCCTATGTGCTAATGCGTAGATTAGGCGTGATGGTTGCAATGTCGGGAAAGATCTCGCTCCGGGGAAGTATGAAGTGGAGCATGATGAAAATGCTCGCAGGTTCAATGACCTTCTCCACATATACTGGTCCTGGTGAGATCTTACTCGCTCCGCCAACATTGGGAGATATCATTGTCCTGCGCCTCAATGGCACGGAAACATGGAAAGTTGGCAAAGACGGATTCCTAGCCGCGACCAGTGGAATCGTGAAGGATTACAAGGCCCAGGGATTGACGAAGGCCGTTTTCTCGGGAGAGGGGTTCATCATCTACCATATGTCTGGGACCGGTCTTCTATGGCTTCAAAGCTTTGGCGCCATTATCAGGAAAGATGTAAGAACTCCATGCCTCACTCACCTCCTGCTTTGGTCCGTATGGCCCCTTTCGCTAACCGAACCTAATGCAGATCCCTGAAGGCGAATCATACCTGGTCGACAACGGCTATCTCGTCGCCTGGAATTGCAAGTACACTATGACGCGGGCTGCCGGGGGAGGCATGTTCTCGACTTATAGCTCCGCTGAAGGACTTGCCTGTAAATTCGACGGCCCTGGGACGGTGTACTTGCAGACGAGAAATGCCGCTGCCTTTGCGGCTCATCTCAGTACCAAGTAGTAACAGACTTTGGCTGGTCTGATTTGTGGGAACCGCCGCAGAGAGCTGGTTTCTTGTTTCATTTTGTTTGCTTATTCTTGTTGCAAATACCTCTTCTTCTGGCTTTTCTGCCTGTTGTCATGACTATATTCCCCCTGGTGTCAAATTGGCTATACTATGTTGTTAATGAGCGTATTTTATACCGATTATCTTTTCAGCGTCGAAAATTGTATATGTTTCTCATACACGACCATACGGCTAGTTGAAATCATGTGTCCAAGAAAGCGTCTCATGGCTGCCAATCGGTCTTAGTATCGTCTGGCTCATTCAGAAAGTCGAGCATATTATGGCATCGCTTGGATGCAGACTCTTACTCTAATTTGTGTTCGACCATGAAGGTAAAGGAAAAAAAATACTATTAGAAAAGTCATACCAATCCATATACTTATCATGCCATGTCGAATTGTCTTCACTTCGTCTCTTCTTAGTTACTTTTTGAGTTCCTATTCCATAAAGCACTACTCTCAACGTCGTCATCATCATCCACATAGGAGAGAGAAAAAAGAAATCTTTATACGAAAGGGGGAAAGAAAATCATAAATCGCCAAAAGATAGTCGCAAGGAAATACAACCACCGCCACCATGGCTCCCCCAAAGACGCCACATCACGTTTAGCCCTGTCTCTTTCTGCGTCCGACTTGGCCACGGAAACCGGTCTTGATAGCGGCGACGGAACGACGGGATCCGCAGGAGTTGCAGGTGACGAAGTACAGACGGTTCTCACCCTTGTTGAGTTCGGTGTCGGGACTGCGGCAAGTCTTGCAAGTAACATATTCGACTGGTTGTATGTTAGGTGGATGTCAAATCAATGAATGGGGGAAGCGAAGCACCGTACCAATATATCTTCTGAGGACGTTCTCAAGCTGCTTCTGCTGGAAACGACCCTTGATGACCAGACGACGACTGCCGTCAACACTGCCACTGGTACCCAATTCGGCGAACAAGAACTGCATGACGTGGTCGTCGGAACGCTTCATACGCTTGCAAATATCGGCGATGTTGGCGAAAATGGTACGACGGTTACCTTCACGCAGACACTGAGGAGGAGGGATCTTATACGACTTGGCACCGCTGGACAGAAGGTCGGGGTGGTGGCTCTGGATGAGGGAGAAGAATCGGGACACAAGCAGAGAGTAGGGGATGGCTTGCGATGCGTCGTGGGCCCAGATACCGGTTCCGGCCTCGAGATCGCCCTCGGGAAGGACCTCCTCTGTCTCCTCAGCTCCCTTCTCTGCTGCACCAGCCTCGGCCAGCTTGGCCTCGAAGTCGCCTGCGTCAACCTTCTTGGTCTTCTTCTTCTTCTTTTTCAGGGCGGTGGGGTCGAATTCGCCGTCAGCTGCGGGGGAAGCTTCGTCGCCTTCGCCGGCCTCTGCATCCTTGGGCTTCTTTGTCTTCTTCTTCTTCGACAGTCCCTTGAACATTTCGGTAACTTCGTCGACCGACTTGTCGGCTGTGGCTGTTTCTTTAATTAGGCCACCGGACATGGATCTCGAACGAAATGAACTGAGCATAACGGAAAAGGGACTCGAGTGATCGTACCTTCATTCTCAGTGGGCTTCTCCACCTTAGGCGCCTCTGTGACTTCACCGTTGGTATCCATGATGACAGAGCCCTCACTAAATGCGACCGACTTGCGTTGTTTTTGAGGAGCTTGTTCGACCTATTCGGCCCCGCCAGATAACGTTAGCGGACAAGAGGTTCTGGGATCAAAAATTCCCAGACGTCAAAAAACAAAGGTAGACAGTAAATGCTCGCAATGCAGCACAGCACTACTATCAGAACCTAAAGCGGAGTGGCAAAAGTAATGGGGGTTTGGGGTTGAAGAAGATTGAAAGGTGAAGAAAATGTGGGAGGACGATCGGTAAGGGAAAACAGCGTGTGACGTACAGTTGTATCCGCCATGTTGAATCACTATCGGGCTGTGAGCGCAGACAGGGGTATCACACTCCACCAAGACAGATTAAATCGCAATTTTCAACAGTAGGAATGATGCTCTTGAGCAAGACAACGAGGTCGCTATGAACTTCCGCTGAGAACCGTATCTGCGACGAGTCTGATGGCGAATCTGTTATCGCGGGTCGTTCTCACGTGATCCGTGAGTCAAACCCATTCGGTACGGCGTAATGTTACGATACTGTACGAGTCGAGTCACGTGAGGGGCCCTCCCCTGGATTACATCAGACTATCAATCAACCTCACTTCCAATCAACGCAGCCAATCTCGACCTTCTTCCTCACGGACATTAACTGGGTCCTACTCATGCCGCTATCCTCTTTCAAGCGGTAGGCGGGCCACTGCTTGATTGACAGCTTACAACCTGCTTGTCTTTTTCTTCCATTCCTATTGTTCAGAAGTGTCTCAGTGCCATTCCATCATGTCGTACCCATCACCCTCAGCCTCCAACCCATCACTCGCTACATCGGCCTATATGGTCTCCTCTGTAGACAGCATCTCCGACGATGAAGTCGCCTCTCTTCCCTCAGAATCTACCTCTGCCTCGGACCTAGATACCTTCTCAGACGACTACTCTGACGCCGAGGAGGAATGGCGAGAAAGCATTGAGCAGCTGGAGCTCCTCCTGACTATGGTCGTCGTGCCCTTCATGGGGAAGTACCTGGGGAGGAAGTGTGCCTATTGGAGTATGTTAACCTATGGGGGTGCGTCGGTTTCGGGGGCCACATGCTGACTATGTGCATAGGTTGGACCAGGTTCATGGAGTGGAAATACCCTGTTGAAGTTGTCGTCAAAGACCAGGCGGCATTCAAGGGAGCAGGCGCCGTTGCAGCCCTTGCTTCGCTATGATTCGGACCAAGCCGTATGCATCATCCTATACTAGAGTTCCTTGGCGTCGATAGACATATACATGGCAACTGTACCATCACATTCCGCCGGCCTTAGCTCTTTCTTGTTTCAGGTAAAAGCAACTCGTGCTTACAGTTCGTATGGTTGGACGGTCTTGGAAGATGCAGCTCTGTGCTGTCTAGTCTGTGTATGCAACCACAAATCCGGCGTGTCAGTGCTGGTTGTTCCACGGTGCCAAGGGACAGGTACGCTTTTTTGGAACAAGCAGCTGGTTATCTGGTGGTATGTTGGGTGAGCATTCCAAAGATGGTTCCAGTTGAGCAGCGTTTCAGCATAATTTGTGATACAATTATACCCAATCAAACTTCAGTGCATATACATAAAATCTGATCCAGGCGTGTTTTCGGGTTTGAATCTTATAAAATCGGAGGGACGCTTTGGGAGACTCGCGGCAGTTCACGAAAATTCAATTCATCTTCAATATTTACTATCTTCTTGTTGACCTGTCCTTGATGGACGGTGCTCAGACCCAATTTCGATCACTTTTCTCCATCACCTAACCCCTTTCTCACTCCTTTCTGCGCCTTGTTGCGGATAACCAGTTCTATGTTTTCCTTGGCTTTCGCTTTGCGTTTATCCTGTCCCTCCATATCGCCAAATTCAGTACCCAGTTGCGACAGGGCTTCTCGAGCGTAAAAGCTAAGGTCGCTGCATCCATCCGGGGTCAAGAAGCGCTCAAGCGGGGTCTCGCGGTAAGCTCCTGGCTGCTGTTGTTCGAAGAGCTTCAGGCTCGCGGTGGTTTGGTTCTGAGTTTCCGCGGAATTCGAGGCAAAGGTAACCTGACTGAGGTGATCCATGGCCTGTTCGATGTCGACATTGTCTTGGCCATGCGCGCTCAAGCGTTGCATCCCGAGCTGAGAGAAGTGTTGATGGATTCGCTCTTCGGTTATGATTTTCTCTATCCACGACATGACACCGTTTCTTGACTCTTCCTACAGCAGGGTTAGACACTCTCCGGCGTTCACTGTTGCGAAGGAGCCATCTGGGCCTACAGATTCTTCAATGGTATTATGTAAAGCAAGGTTTCTCTCAGTCAAGTTGCTGTTGGGCACCTCTTCGGTGCTAGGCTCGGAGGACATCTTGTATTGTCTGTGGTGGATGGTGTTATGGAGAAGAGAGTTAAGCAAACGTTCAGCGGATTGATGAATGTGAACAGACGCCGAGCCCAGGCACTATAGCAACCAGAACAATCTATGCCACATCGCCAGGGCGATGAACCAGCTCTTTATATGCAGTGCACTTGCGGTATCTGCTTGGAGCAAGCCAGGCACACATTAAAGGCAAACATGCCTATCTACAGTACCTGACCCATAACAATGAAGATACCGTCAACCGCAGGTTAATCAGTCGGTCAGTCAAATCACGCCAATGGATGCCGTCAACCCAAGCCATCAGGCACATACATCCACGCCCTTTGCACAAATAGAGACTAGATGCAACCAGAAACCGCACCCCCGGGTCTTCAGTGAAGTACAAGGCACCCACGCCCCCTGTTCCCTCCGTCGTTCCGATAGCCTGTCCTCCCCACCCATCCGAGCCCAACGAGTCAAGAGATAGCAACGTCGCAATCCCGGGATTTGGATGTGAACTAACGGCGACGGTGTATGGCCCATGAGCCCGTCTCCTCGAGGCTCTGTCCGGGGAAAGCAGACCGCACTTCCGCTACCTATTGTGGCAGGACTTAGTACTTTTATCCCTGATCTTTTGGTCAGCCATGCAGAATTAGCTGCAGATATGAAACGGTCGGGTCTGCAGTAATATGGCAAATCTCCTCAGAGAATTTCTCACATCAATACGTCGCCAGTCCCTGAGCGAGTTCTCCGGAAGAAATGAACATAGCCCACTCCAAATGATCACACCAGAAAAAGAAAAGAATCACCCACTAGCCAAAGGCTCCACACATGCATATAATGGCCCAGCATTAACCAAATCCAGGAAACGGGCGAAACAAGAAAAAAAGAAAGAAAGAAAGAAAAAAGATTCGCGCTGGTAACCTTGTACAGCACAACTGGCATTGTACCCAGCAGCTGGGTTTCCTGCAAGGGCCCGTGCGGGCGTTCCTCGTCCCTCAAAGTTCATGCTAAACTAGTAGATCGCCGGCTGAGCGCCAGACCTCTGAACCAGCGGTGACGTGGGCTTTTGCTTTTAACTTATTCTAGGAGACTAAAGAAGACGTGTGGTGCTGAGAAGCCAATTCTAGCAGGGTCTTGTGCCTCTCACAAGGCCCTTCCCTTTCTTTCTTACCAGGTTCAATTCCAAATAGACAAACGTACGGGTACTTTGGACGTACTTTTGAACTGGACGAGTCCATGATTTCCAGCACGGATGCTTGCCTTTCCGTGAATATTACCCTTCTTATGGAACAAATAGAAAAGGGAAAGACGTGGAATGGGCTTATTTTCCTTTCCCAGGGACCTGGTTCACTCCGTTTTAGTGCTTGTGCATGAATAAGGACAGGGGAGTCTGATATTATCTGGTGCGCAAAACATGAATAATTCTGCATACACTAAAATTCCTGCGCAGAGTTTTAGTGTATGTGGACTTGGTTAATTGAAAAAGGGGGGAAAAAGAAAGGAAGAGGCACGCTGTACGGAATGGATTTTCATGAGATAATGGTATCTATTCAACCGTGGTTTGGAATGGGTTTAATCCCATGCAGTAATACGCACTACCGCATGATCCTTGTTAGCAGGGTTGGAGTCCGCTGTCGGTTTCTGTCCCTCTCTTGCTTTTCCTTTTCTTTCATCTTGTTCGTCGTTGTGTATTGTGAAAGGAAGGAGAGAATGAGGAGGGAGCTGAAAAAAAGAACACGAGATAATAGGGCTTCTAGATAGGGAAAGACGTTAAGAAGGCTTTATGTGATCTATACAACCACGATGACCAAGTTTCTCAGAAACAAGGCTGTCCTTCCTTTGACATCGTCTGACTCCACTGGGAACTGCCCCCGAGCTAAATCCCCTCATGCTCCAGGCGAACGGGCGAAAGAAAAAGCAAAGAACGCCGAAATTAACGAGCTGTCGATCAGTCGGCTGAAGGCAACGGATTACTGGGGCCAGGGACTGCCAGTTGTCCAAACGGCAAACTTCCACCAGTGTCATGCCGTATTGTTGGGTTCGTTCGGCCGGAAGGATGCCTAGTGGCGTATCAGTGGAACTATTATCCATTCCCTTGGGTCTGTGTTTTGTTTATCTGTTCCATGAGAATGGTTTCGTCATCTCGGTGTCTCAGCCGTTGTTGGAGAATGGATAGTGTCCACTCATCATTGATGAAATAGCATCCGCGCGTACATCAAACCTGAAATTGCTAGTAAATATTCCATAGAAATACATCTATGACCAAGACATCATAGGTAGAATACCAGGCATAAAACGCAGTATTCAATATAGAGCCCAAGTATGAAAGCAAATACCATAGTCAAAACCCACCAAGAGCAAACCCCTAATACAACTTCTGCTGTCGCCAAAACCCTTTAAGCCCACCCAAAAGGTCTTCCTGCAGACCCGAGACCATGGCTGCGGTCGGTCTAGACTCCGCCCCTGCCATTCTCTCGTTTTGGGTTTCTCCTGCAGAATATCTAGCATCCAGGAATTGTCCGGTGAAACACTGCAGATAGACTGCATGATTTGGCTGGGAGACTCCCGGGCAACGCTTTGGCTGGGCAGAATCATATGAACCATGCGAGAAAATCCCTGTTTCTGACGCAATCCCAGGGCACCAGTATGGCGCTAAATCATCTGGCAAGCCATGGAAATCTTCCGGTACCTGAAATATGCTTCCATTGCCGCCTACGCCAGAGGAAGCGTCCCTTACTGGTTTGTCTACCGTTCGGTGCCTAGGAAATTTATACAAGGGGTCCTGCTCTGGGTGCATAATCACATCGTATGCCGCACTTAGAGTCTGTTCTATCAAGGCACAATCCCCTCCAGGCAAGGGTGCTGCCTTATTTGCAAACTGTGCCGCCGACTTGTCATAATCTGAAATCATTGCAGATGCCATAGATGCTTTTGCTTCTTGTAATCCGTGGGAGTCGTGGGACTGCATCACAGACGTCGGTTTTTGGATATGTAGCGAGGAGCTAACGAAGCTCGACGTACCGGGATAAAGTGTAAAGTCGCTCGTAGGTGGCTCAATGATGTCTGCCTGGTCGATGGCTTGTGGTGATGCCGGTGCAGGCTGCCTATGCGACATGTGCATTGACACACCGTCTGTATCTCCACTACTTCTAAGAAGTGCAGGTGGCTCAGATGCCGGATCAGGATGATTCGTGGCAGGAATGCTAATGGCTCCATAACTGTCTGTGTTGTCTTTGCTATTATACTCTTTGACCATCGTCGGGGTCTGAGCAGGCTCCCCCTCTCCGACAGACTGAGGTCGCTTGCGTTCTTGGGATCTCCAGTGAAAGCTTGCGTTTGTCGGCACAGCAGGGCTATGGGCATCTGAATCCCAAAGCTGTTTTCTCTGATCAGGGAGGCATTTCACCTCTTCCAAGCTCCAGGAATTTCTTGTAGATTTGACTGTTGCTATCGCTTCATTATTATCTTGGACGTCCAAGTCGACACTGAGAAACTGTTCCGTGCACTTCTCGTATGCACCATCCAATGCAGAATATTCACGCACACTCTCAGGCCATGTATACATTGTGGCGGTCTTAGATATAGCCTCGCTTCCCTTTTTTTGGTGCTGAGCGTTTCCGTCTTTGTGAGCCTGAAGCATGGTGCTCCTCTGGCCATGTTCATATACTGATGTTTCATGAGGAAACGCATATCTCTCCTGATGATGTGCCTGTTCATCGACAGTATTCAATAATGACGAACAAGCTCTTGGGTTTTGATTTGGTGAATCCCAATATACGCTTCCCTTTTTTTCCTTATCTCGATAAATACATGCTGCTTCACGCTCTTTTCGTGCTTTATTGGAAAGAAACTTCATTTCCGAAAAGCTGAGGTCAGGCCCTGATCAATCTGTCAGCTTCGAACCCAAACTTAGAAAGATAGGAAGCTTACCCTGAACCTTGACCGGTGATGATGTCCTACCCATCTGAAACAGACCTAGGTTCATATTAGATTGAAGCTATGGATATGGTTAGCGTGTTCTTGCCAGATTGGCTTGTCTCTCTTTGCTCACGGTTAATCGATCCCGAGCCACATTAGAGGCGTGAAAATTATCATTCACGGTGTGCTTTCTATTCCTCTTGGTGGATCTTCTTCTCTTAGTCTTTGTCACCCTGCCACCTTTCTCATGAGACATCTTGCCCTTGTACTCATAATGATCGTCTTTTGTCTTGTGGCGTGGTTGGCGCTCATACCTAGATCGTTCTTCCTTCCCCTTGCTGGCAACTTTCTGGGAAGACATGAGACACGACACAGAACCTACTGACCCAGGGCAGTGTTGTTTCCTATACGTCTCCAGTGCTTGTTCCTGGACTCGCGGTACATGTGCGACTTGTTGGCATGAGGGGCCAAGGTGTTGTAAGCTAGCATCGCTCTCTCTCACTATGCTCTCAACACACATGACCGATGTTGATCTCCTTGGTTGATTTTCAATGCCCGGTAGCTTACCATAAAAATCTTGAACTTTGGGGAAATTGCGGCATGGGTACGACCATCTAGGGGTGTCGGATGGCACAGGCTCGTCTTCAATCATTGCCAACCACTCAAAAATACGAGACTGCGACCCCGAACTCATCGAGACAGCTGGTGTGAGATATGTGCTTAATGTGATGCTGGTAGAGGGAACACGGGGATCTGGAGACGGATAAGTCGAAATGTGAAGTGGATAGATGTATATAGGAAGACAGTGGGGCATCTTAGGATGTCTGGCTGAGAGATATGGCCGCCATTGTGACATCATCCAATTGAGTATTTGAAGAAGCCTGACCGAAATGTCTGAGGCAGCCACGATTACCAAATATAGAAGCACCCTCGTGACTTGCGTTTGCAATCGAGTGAACGTGAGTACTAGTAGTAGCAGTAGTAGTAGCTTTGTTACAGTGTCCACCTATTATCTCGTCACTAATTTAGTACAATTACCCTAGGAACCTATCTCCCATGATCATATTGAAACCGACCCATCAACGCTGCTCCTTAGCACACATCCTTAGGACCCTCTTTGTCCGCCTCTCCATTCATGGAAATCGCTTGTTGAACCTTGTCCCCTCTGATGTGCTTGGATTTGTCCGTGGATCAGAGACGATTATACCTGCAACGTACACAGACCTCAATCCTGCAGCGCTGGCATCGTAAAATGAAGTCAGGAAGCAGGTCATGGCATACATCGCACGAGTGTTGCCCATCACGCCTCCTCCAGCGAGCATCATGCTTACAGTTGTGCTGCTCACGAAGTTCCTGTGCTGCCCTCTGAACCTCTTGTTGTGCAGGCCGAGGGTTCTCATCATTCCGAGCGGCGACTTGGTTTGCTCTGTCGAATAGTCTGTCTTCGTCCCACACTTCGCATCTACATGTCTTCCACTTCGAGGCACAGGCGTAGCAAAATTCGAACCCACAACGGCATCTAGAGCAGAAGACTATCAGACAGATTTCCATATCAAGAATTAACAAGTCTCATTGCTTTTGCACTTACGTGATGTGATTGCAGCCACTCTTTAGCTCCACGATGTTCCGACATCTCGCGCAGCGCTGCCATCCTTCTCTTTTTGCCATATTCAGAATTTCCGCTTGCCCCTCGACACATAGGCCAGCATGAGCTCGCTGCTTGCATGTAGAGCATGTTTCTGTGTTGCAAGAAGGGCAGGTTCTGGTGCTAAGGGCCACCGGGGCAGGGGGGAGGTATCGCGAACACGAAGGACTAGCACAGTAAGTTCTATTGGAGTCATTGTGCTCCGCTGTCTTCTCCTCGAATTTTTGAATCATTTCCTCATCCAGAAGTGTTTGTATTGTAGATAAAGGGAATGGCAAACGACAGCACTTGGGTGGGAAAAGGGACTCGTCAACAAGAGAGTCGTGCACCAGGCGGCCGGTACAGCTCCTGCAGTAGTAATGGGAACAGATTGCCCTAAACATGTCAAAGAATGGCCTGGCTTCCATACAGGCTACACATTTGAGGTGTCTCTGACTGTCAAATTTCCGGGCAGCAGCAACTTTCGAGCTTTCAGCCCCTGGGAAGCCTGAACTTCGAACTTCGGTTGCATCTGTAGGTCTCGATTGCTTCGACACTGTAGTAAAACCTCCCACCAGACCAGTTAGGCCAGCCATCGCAGCCTTATTCTGCCCCAGTAGCTGATCAGGAGTTGATTTGCTGAGACCTCCCAGTTGCAGTGCGGTCATTCGATCCCCAAAGGCTCTGTTTTCTTCTTCCGTTGCAGCTACGAGAGCATCACCATCATCGAAAACAGCTCTAGCTAGGCTCTTCGCCATTCTGTAGTCTTCAAACGTGCATGCATAATGACGGAGCTCTCGAGCCCATTCAGTGAGTGTCAGTTCATGGTCAGTTACTTGATCCGCGCTCCCTTTGCCCTTCATGAGTCCAAGGGCGCCTCTGGCATCTTCCTCCATCAAATGTAGCACTAGCTCCTTAGTCGGCTCATCCATGATGAAATGGAATAGATAAGGCGTTATAGAAGCTGGCGATGGAAAGAAGGCGGAAGTGTGAAATGGGAATGGAACTGCGAACGAAGGTGTTTTGAAATGACTGAAAAGCGAGGGTGGGTAGAATCGCGGTGAATTCAAATTGATACCCTGGTACGTGCAATCAGCATGACTGACTATTCACTTCTCAGTTACAGACAGATCATGATATCCAGCACAGCTATAGATACTGTAGTAAGACCAACTATCCAATCCGTCCAGATACAGTGCCATTATCTAGTGAATCTGATACTACGTGGTAATACGTACATAGAAGAATGCCAGCTTACAAGCTCTGTATAATCGAGGAAATATTGATTGGAATTAGTATGCTGTCCTGAACCGCTACGATATCTATGGGAGATACCTCGATATCAGAGGGTAAATATATATATATATATATATGCGGTAGACATGCTTTCCTCCCGAAGTGAAGCTACGAGATATTCATCTTTAGACAACACCCGCTACTTGCTTCCCATATTAATACTTAGATCTTGTCTTGGTAACACCTTCTAATGAGAATCCAGGAAGAAAAAATTAAGATAAAAATCAAAATCATTAGATTGACAATGAGGGGAACCGGAGGTGTTCCGCAACGCTTGGGTTAGCGTCTTAGAATCAGTCCAATCCAGAGCATTGCAAACGGACCCCCCTCCGTGGTGCAGTATTTGAGTATTGTTACCGTTCAGGCTGGCTGTTTGTCTTGCAAGTGGGAGAGGAAAGAGTGTACGAGTGGTGTACATAATATTTGATTCCCCCCCCCGCTTTAAATCTTCCCTCAATCAAATCTTCGGTAAAAAGAAAAGGAAAAATTTTAAATTTTTAAAAAATTTAGAGGATTGATTTTTGTGGCACAACGTGCAGTTGAATCCGATCATCTTTGGTCAGAGATTCCCTTCTGTAGCAATAGTGAATGTGCATGATTGACAGTTTTAGTCACTGCAGCGGTTCCACTTGAATAAATGTACGTGATAAGGCCGATGATTCTGCAAATCGGCGCTTTAGGACCTTAGTAGCCTCCTTCACATTCATGTTCCCCACGGGCCCTCTTCTTCCATTGTCATCCTCCTCTTTCAGCCGAACCATCATTTTATCGCACAAATCTCGTCTCATCTTCATCCTTCTTACTACTCCTTCCTCTACTGACTCCCCCCCTTAGTCTCTGTCCAACTCTACAAAACCTTCAGAATGTCTAAAGTATTTGTTGGGTCTGTTTACCCTCCCCACACTCACTCCCAATAGCAGCTGTCATCTATTTCCCACCTCAACAAGGACATCCTAATTGATCATTTCACTGACACCACCAAACAGCGGCCTGTCATGGCACACCACTGACGACAGTCTCCGTGAGGGTTTCTCCCAATTCGGTCAGGTCGAAGAAGCTGTTAGTACCCTAATTTACTGTAGAGCCATTCCCTCTCTCTGCCATGGTTATATTAATAATCTTCAGATTGTCGTTAAGGATCGCGACACCAACCGCAGTCGCGGATTCGGTTTCGTCCGCTTCAGCACAGAGGATGAAGCCGAGGCTGCGGTGCAAGGACTGAACAATACGGAGTGAGCATTCATTTATTTACTGTCATCCCTTTCATCCCACAGTGCTGTCGCAACTTCTCCGCGTGGATCGAAGATTTACAAAACTAGGTTTGACGGTCGTAATATCCGCGTCGACAAAGCCTCTGAACGACCTAGTCGCAACGATGGCGGCTTCCACGGCCGTGGCGGATACAACTCGCGCGGAGGAAACGGTGGTGGATATGGTGGTGGCGGATACGGTGGTGGCAGTAAGCGATCCCTTCTGCTTGGCCTCTACATCCGAGGGCATCGCAGTTCTCTTTATTTTATTGGTGTTCTTATCAAGCTAATGGCATCCAGGCTGGCGCCAAAACAACGCTGAGAACTAGGCTATGGCCCTTACCTCTAACTAAAGCGTGGACCGAAGTATGGTGCAGCTGGACTGATCCTTTTTGTGTTTTGTTCAAACGGATTTCATCGCTCAGATAATCTTCTCTCTCGATAAAACTTCATGAGACACGAATCGCAGAAGAGGAAGTGAAATGCAGTATGACGGCGGAAGCATGGTTTTGATGAATCACGGATGCTCTATCTCTGTTACTAAGATCATACCTTTATTGCTCGTTTAATATTGAATCTCCATGTGACGCAGGGAAAAATTCCAATCTGTAACCAGATAGTATGCGGCAAGGGTCTACGCCGGTAGTACAAGAGGGGAACGCTCTATAATATTGAAACCTTATAGTCTATGTAAGCTTTGCACTTGAGCGCCGATCATGGATCATAGAGCAACGTCAATGTAAAGTCACACTCTTTCCTCGTTTTGGAAAGCCCGATGTGCCTCCTCCTCTGACCGACTAAGCGACTTCTGTAAATCCCTCTCAGCCGCTTCTTCATCTCTCGCCGCCTCATCGTCCTCCTCAATGGCCTTCACCCGTTGAACCAAATCCGTGACATAGCCATCAGCACTTCCAAGCCCGAGACCCTCAAGCGCCTTCTCTAGCAGATAAAGATACTCGGTATTTTTCCCACTCTGACCCCATCCGCGACTAATCACCTCCGCAACATCTTCCGGCTCACGACGAGCTGGGTCACGCAGGAACTGTGGGTTGGTAGGTTGCCCGATATACACCATGCAGGTCATCGGTTTGGATTCCGACTCCGCGGCCTTGGACCCCAAGAACGGGTAGAATGGAGTATAATGCACAGTGTATCCGTCAATCTCGCGCTCGTCGAGGTAATCATGGACTTCTTCGGCATGCGAGGCGGGAATATGGTATGCTGCGCCCCAAACTCGACCTGCTGACGATGATTCTAGTTGTGCAAGCTGCATGGTAGTGATGTGAGATGACAAGCCTAGATATTTACACGGATTGACCGGTGCAGATGGGAATGACCACATACCGGATCATTCAATGTCTCCCAAAATCCCCGTTCTATGACCGTTACTACTCGTCCGGGATTTTCCGGCGTTCCTCGATGGTCGGTGCTTAGTACAGTCAGCTTTACAGCTTGGAATTGGTAACCAAATGCCCGTTTCAAGAGACTATAGCCTACCTAGCCTATATGTCGTCAGGTTGAAGTTAGTCGTGTTTAGTATAGAAGAAGGTACAACGGAGAAACGGAGAAGACAAGTGCCGCTGCTTCAAGCTTCACAGCAAAAGCTTCCATATTTCACGGGATGACGAACCTGCCAAAAGCGACGCACATAGCCGTTGACATAACCCGGTACTCTTTGATCTATACGAGGTCGCAGATCAGCTCAGGTCCGGGAAACTGGCAACAGTGCTGTGTCCTTTGTCCTTGGCCAAGACCCAAATAAAATAGTCCAAAGCCAGAGTGACGTACCATAATGCGGTGGTGGCTTCCAAATCAAGCTCCTTGGTAACATCAGCTTTTGTCCATTAGAACTTTTGTGGAATCCCGAATATCCTATTCTCCCCCAGGACGGACGTTGACTCACCCATATCCAAATACCCATAGATCACCGTCTGGGAAGTAACTGCGCCATGTTCGACCATCTGGAGAAGCATGGCTAGTGTCCTTACAAGAAGCCATGTCTGTCTAATAGAGTCGAATCTTAACCGTCTGCTCTAAAATTACAAGGTCTGTTCGTCTCTATAATGTGTATATAAATTTTGGGATGGAAATGGAAATGCGTAAAGTGGAAACAGCCCCCGAAACAAGGCTTCGTCAGCAGTAGAAATCCAAAATAGTTAGGTGGCCTCTAGTTTCCTTCAACCTACCATTGAAATGTAGGGAAACGGCTATCTTCAGAGGTAAATGTGTATTACTGAGCATTGCAAAGAATGTGCTGTACAATTCACCCCATGTGTTTGTACTGTTTGCTTACTATCAATGTGGGAGAAATGGCGGAAGTTGATGCAACATTAGACCAATCATTTCTGATAGCTGACGCCCCGCTGCACCCGACATTCTCCCCCGTCTCCTCTTGCTGCCTCAGGTTCTAATGAAACCCCCTGCTTATTGATCAATGTCCCAATAGTTAGTGAAGAAAAGCATACTACAAGATAGTCTACACAGAATGGTGTAACTCCTTTTCTATACGGACCGGAATTTCGAATAGTTGCTTCTTGATTGTATTGCTCTCGTGCAACTATTCAACAAATCATCTACTCCAACGTCCATCCACAACTATCGCATTTTGTTTGTCCGTGGAAATATAGTTACTATGGCAAGCTTACTTCGCCTTCTCCGGACACAATACACTGTCCCAGTCGACCCAACAGTCTCCTTTGCCGGCAAGACCGTCGTCTTAACTGGAGCCACGTCTGGCCTGGGATTCGAAGCCGCCATCAAACTTCTGAATTTAGGCGTGGAATCCCTTATTATCGGCAGTCGCAGCCTCGAACGAGGAGATGTAGTCAAAACCGAGCTGGAAAAGCGCACCACCAGACAGGGAGTGATCCAAGTCTGGGAGCTGGACATGAACAGTTTCCAAAGTGTCAAAACCTTTGCGAGCCGCATTGAAAAGGAAGTCAAGCAGTTGGACATCGCACTCCTCAATGCAGGTCTATGGAATCGAGGGTATACCGCATCTCCGGAGGGATGGGAAGAAACGTTGCAGGTTAACGCGTTATCCACTTCTCTACTGGCGCTTCTGCTCCTTCCGAAGCTGAGAGACAGCTCATCTGACTCGACCCCGGCGCACCTTGCTGTCGTTTCCAGCCAACAGTTTGTTCGAGTCAAGGCTACAAGCCTTCGGACGGAAGGGCCGCTATTGGAGCATTTGAATGATCCACGGCACTTTAGCGGCCCAAAGCAGTACGGCATCTCTAAGCTGCTGTTGGAGTACGCTCTGAAGACGGTGGCTGATCGAGTACGGAATGAGAATGGAACTCTCCCTGTTATTGTAAATACGATAAGCCCGGGACTCTGTGTGTCATCGCTTGGACGGCAGTATGATCGGTTCTATGAGCGATGGTTTGTTTGGCTGTTCTATAAGCTCTTTGCTCGCACGGCAGAGCAAGGAAGTCGGTCGCTCGTTAGTGCCACATACCAGGGAGCAGAATCGCACGGGAAATGCTGGAGGAGTGACGGGTATCTAGAGTATGTTTCTTCATATTCTCCTTTCCTTCCTTCTTCTTCTTCTTCTTTTTTTCTTTTTTTCGGTCTTCAGTTGGATTCTATTATTACATGCTAACAAGGACAGCGAATCTACCGCGCTGACAACGGGAACGGAAGGAAAGGAATTCCAGGTCAAGGCATGGAAGGAGATCATGGAGATTCTGCAAGAGCAATCTCCAGAAATCAAGGAGTTGGTTGGGGAGTGAAGGATAATATAGGTAATATAATATTAAATTAGACGAAGAAATAAGTTAACCGAACCATAAAACTGTGGAAAGAGATAAATATAGATACAGACTCACATTAGCTCCACCGCGGATTGAGGAGAACCCGAGAACCATACTCAATCAGGACAAACAAATGAATCAGAGAGTGGGATAGGGCTGAGGCGAATCTTTCTTTCAAAAAAGCCTCATTTGATCCCATTTGGATGCCCAAATTCCTCCCCGTTAGTTTGGTGATCTTTTCTCTGCCACCGCGTATTCGTATACACTGATCGCCCCCCTTTGATTCAACATATTAAGACTCTTGGCAATCAGCTTTTCGAACCAGTGCCCCACGCGCTCCGCTTTTGACTGCGAAGAAGCATATGCTAACGCCAACACTAACTCCCTCCTGAAACTCCTGACCAAAATCCTTTTCGTATCTCTGCCTGATTTCCTCTTCTTCTTTGTTCTGTAGCCTGTCCGATCCACCATAAAAAGCGCGTTTCCCGCGTCAGACACCCCCCTCAACCTCATTTCCTTAAATACCAACATCCGTTACGTCAGCCGGACAGGCATCGATAGACTACACCATGGCGTACAACCAATCTTACAACCCAGATGCGTTGCCAGCGTAAGTTGAGTTCGCAAGTGATTTTCAGGATGCGCCGTGGATCGCTAATGTTGCATAAAATGGACCAGACATGCAGAGCCCGAACAGGTACCGATCGAGTGTTTTGGTTTCCCTGATCGACCCCTCCATAACTGACGAAAATAAACGCCAGGTAGCTCAGATGATCGGTGCGATGCAAACTGGCCCTCAGCATCACCAGAGTAAACCGTCTCGGCCATCCCCCAACCCCTCTTCTACTAGTAGTGGTGTTCCGCCTCGCGTTCCTGTTACGAGTGCGCACATGAACAAGCCATTGCCCGCGCCGGTTGCAAACCAACACCAACAGCGGACTCATCCACTGCACCCATCACCACCTCCACAGAACTATGGATTTGGGCCACCTCCGTCCCAGCCTGTGCGCAATCGGCCCCAGCCCTCGTCCCGGCCCCCACGGTCTCCAAATCCGCCCCCGTTGTCGGTCCCGGATGACGATCCGCAACAGCTCTTCCCACTGTTTCGCGCCGCCAACTCATCCCACACCGGTTCACTGACGGAGATGGAGCTGGGCTCCGCTCTGGTGAATGGTGATTTCACTTCGTTTCACCCTAAGACCGTGAAGATGATGATCCGCATGTTTGACCGGAATAGCTCTGGAACGATCTCGTTCGACGAGTTTGTATCGCTATGGCGCTACCTTGCCGCGTGGCGGGAGCTTTTCGATCGATTCGATGCCGACCGTAGCGGGCGCATCAGCCTTCAGGAGTTCGAGAACGCACTTCTCGCATTCGGATACCGACTAAGCAAACCGTTTGTGACGGTGCTTTTCACCACGTTTGAAAGTAAGGGACGGCAGATGAATGGACCTGCTCACCTGGGGAATATGGGAATGAGCTTCGACCTGTTTGTACAGGCGTGTATCAGTCTGAGACGTATGACGGACGTGTTCAAGCGGTATGACGATGACCGCGATGGTTACATTACTGTGAGCTTTGAGGAGTTCTTAACTGGTAAGGGAATTGCGGTGTTCCTCCTCCCTTGACCAGTCGCTGACACAATGGCTACAGAAATCCTGCAACTACAGGACTAAGCGGTAGATAAGGAGTTCTTGTGCATCTCTGCTTTGATCTTTTTTTTTCGTGTTTTATCATTATACCCTGTTTATGGAGCATCATAATTCAAGCACCGGGCGATCCAGCAAAAAGTGGTATACAAGGTGTATTCGGTGGACTTGCAAGCTGCCTACTCAAGGTAGTAATTGCTTTGTGTTTAAAGGCTGCATTGACCTGTACTATAGATTGCAGTGTCTCATGATCAGAATACGGACCCGTTGGCAATTGATTTGGTAATAGATAGAAAAACTCCCCTAAACCTTGTTGGGATGCATTGTCATTTAGGTCCATGTGGCAAGGAAAATTCTCCTACTTGCATACTAACTGTACCAAGAATTTTTCTGTTAGGGGCAAAATAAGAAATAAATCAGAAGACAGTTTAAAATTAAAATCTCTGATCCCCCAAAGAAAACACTACCATTCATACAGTACTCCGTACATCATCTCTGTGCTTTTGCATGCCTCGGCGAATCGGTCCTTGAAATCTTTTTAAGTCCGACAGACTCGGCATCTTCCGAAAGGCCGACAATTTAGTTAGTCAAAGTTATAGATACTGACATCGCATTTATAAGTCTCGACCACATCCTCGCTCCCTTTGGTTGGCTCCTTCACGCCGAAATGCCTTAGCAACCACCAGTGGAAATCCATTCAGCGACTGCCCCAGAGTTTTCCCTTTTCGCCTCGGTGTTCTGTGGCTTTTCTTTCCTCGTTCTTTACGTCGATCTTTTACTAACCCTGAGTCACTCGGTCTTTCAACGTCGGATCTGCCCGCCACAACGGATTGGGCGCATTCTTGGTCCCTTTCTCCTCAACGGGGCGTCCAAATCCTCCCCTGTCAAGCCAAGTCAAGTCAGGCCAAGTCTTGCATCGCGAAGAATGACGGCGCTTTCTCATCCCAGTGATGACCGGGATCAACATGATACCCACACGCCCAGCAATGGTCAGATTGTGACGGACGACAAAATAGCCCCGGCGGAATTGAACCCCAGCTTGGCGGACACCGACACTTCGAATAACCATCGTCAATCTTCAGAGGAAAAGCATTTGGATGAGGCCAACGGTGATGGAACGGTGGAAAAAGAGGCAAATGGCGCTTCGCTGGAACGAGTGCCTTCCCAGGCGCAGAAACTGGGAAAGAAGAAGATTATTGTTGTCATGGCGGCGCTTTGTGTAAGAACGGGCTTTTGCTTTTCTCCTCCTGAAGTGCATCTTGGATCAAATCCCGGCTAACCATGCTGAAACCTATAGTTGGTCCTGTTCTTAGCAGCTTTAGATATGGTAAGTACCTAGATCGCTCGCATCTGTCGTCATAGTTCGGATGTTTACAGGCTGGTACAGACAATTATTTCCACGGCCCTGCCAACAATGGCCTCTCATTTCAATGCATCAGAGAGTGGATATTCATGGATGGCTTCGTCGTATATGCTTGCCAATGCCGCCGCAGTGCCCCTCTGGGGTAAAATTAGTGATATTTGGGGCAGAAAACGGATTCTGTTGCTAGCCAATTTTACTTTCCTCGTAGGTAGTTTGATCTGCGCGTTGGCTATTAATCTGCCGATGATTCTGGTGGGCAGAGCTATTCAAGGTGTTGGGGGTGGTGGTATCATCGTGCTGGTGAATATCTCCGTCTCCGATTTGTTCAGTGTCCGGTAAGTCATGTCCTCTATATGCTTTCTCCCTTTTGATGGAGGGTTGCTAACTCATTTCTGCTTTAGAGAACGGCCGTTGTACTACGGTCTTTTTGGTTCTACGTGGGCAATTGCAGGTGCTCTAGGCCCCATCATTGGAGGCGCCTTCACCACCAACGTTACTTGGCGTTGGTGCTTCTATCTGAATTGTAAGGAAACCGGCGGGCAGTAGACCGGACTATGCTAACATGTCTGACTAGTACCCATTGGAGGCGTTTCTTTTGTTATCCTCGTCCTGTTCCTCAAGATTGAGGCTGAAAAAACTCCGCTTCTAGCTGGTCTAAAATCTATTGATTGGATAGGTGTCGTCTTGATCATGGGAGGAACACTCATGTTCTTGTTTGGCCTGGAGTACGGTGGCATCACTTACCCTTGGGACTCGGCCACCGTCATCTGTCTCATCGTCTTTGGAGTAGTGGCGTGGGCTATCGCATGATGGTTGAATGGAAGGTCGCAAAATACCCCGTTATACCGATCCGTCTCTTCACGAATTGGCACAACGCCCTGGTCCTTTTTGTCTGCTTCTGCCACAGTTTCGTGTTTATCGCTGGCTCCTTCTACCTCCCGCTCTATTTCCAGACTGTGCTCCTCGCCAATCCTATTATGAGCGGTGTCTACGTGCTTCCGAACGTTCTCAGCCTGTCCTTGACTTCCGCAATCACTGGCTTCATCATTAAAAAGACCGGCCGTTACCACGAGCTTATCGTGGGCGGATTATTCTTCATGACCCTCGGATACGGGCTCCTCATTAACTTGAAATACTACGCCTCGTGGCCTCGTATCATCATCTACCAACTAATCGCCGGCTTTGGCTCCGGCCCCATTTTCCAAGCGCCCCTCGTTGCCCTCCAGGCTAACATCCACCGTGGCGACGTCGCCGCCGGAACCTCTACGTTCGGCTTCCTCCGCCAAACCTCCGCCGCCATGTCCATCGTCCTCGGTACCGTCGTGTATCAAAATGTCCTCCAGCAGCAAATGCCCAAGATTTCAGCCGCGATCGGGCCCGAGAAAGCCACCGCGCTCGCCTCCTCCTTCTCCGGCTCCCAGGGCGACCTCATCAAAGCACTCCCAAAAGCCCAGCAGAGCGTCGTCCTGAAAGCATACACCTTCACCCTGAGCCGGATGTGGATCTTCTACACGGCCATCATCGGCCTCGGGCTACTCGTCAGTCTATTCATCCGACCCGTCGAGCTCAGCAAGGCACACACCTTCACCAAGACGGGACTAGCGGAGCAAGAGCGCGCAAGACAAGAGATCCTCGCCGCGCAAAGAGGCGAGACTCAGCCCGAATCCAAGGAGACCGTTTAAAACCCCCCTAGTCATCTCATCTCTTCTACACCAATGGGTCACCCCCATCCCCTCCCTTTCTTACTTCCCATAAATCTACACGCTACAGTCTACACGCATAATAGACCCTTCTCACCCTTCTTTCAACACTGTCGCCCCCCCCTTTTCCTCAAAATAATCGAGTTGCTGATACTCCTGGCGGGTATTATGAGCATGTCAGACCGTGGAAAAAGTTTGCTGGTTTTCTGTTTTCGCCTTTTTGGTTTATCTTAATGTCTTGCTATACCCACTTCAACAGGGAGGCTTAATGGCTGGAGTTGCTCAAATAGTGTATATTGGATTGGAACATGATGAACTGGAGTAAATACGTACTGTACATGCACATACGGATTCAGCGCAGAGAATGCCGTCGAAGAGTATAATCAGGTTTGAAGAAAAGAATTTGCTCCGCACGTTTTTCACATAATAAGACCAACTAAGCTAATGACCATCCTCTTACCTTACCTTACCTATGTACCGCAGAAGCTCCTAGGAATGACATCACTGCTTCGCAACCGGAGGCTTTCGGATAACCTTATTCCATGTTAGTTTACACACAATCTGATTGTTCAGTGAGTAGTTAACTAGTTAGCCAGTTAGTTACACTATTTATACTTAGTAAGCTGTACACCTTGCATCTTGCTACTATTTTCAATTCAAGTACAAATGAGGTATATGTGTACTTAAGTGGTTTGTGCCAAGTTGATCTATCGCTGCTCATTGTTTGGGACCGCAAACTTAATCTGAACTTTATCGGCAATGACGTCCGTGTACGCCGGTTTAGGCAGTCGATCGTAGATTCAGCTCTGTTCAATTGGTACCGGGCTTTCGGTTTAACTCAGATGATCCACCGTAGCATAGATGGAGCAAGTCGCTTAGCTTTTCTTGGTCGTTCTACTGCGTATAAAAGAGACGTATATGGCAGCTGAACCCACCAGAGAATACACAATACCCCCACTTGGCCGAAAGAAATATCGTGTTCCAGATTTTTATTCCTATTCAAACATCCTTATATACATTACCGAATTTAGAAAGATAAAACGAAAAAATAAAATAAAAAAAAGATACTGAAACGCCATCCGCAAGTGATTATTGAAAGAAAGCAAAAGGTTGTTCTGTCCTGGTCAAGAGATGGGAAAGAGAGAGACTGAGAATCTCATGCGGAAAGAGCTTTTCGAAAACAAGCGCTTAAGGCAGGGTTGCCAATAAGATCCAACGGCAAAAGGAAGGGGTATAACAGTGGAAAGGAAGCGGAAGCCACGGCGAAAGTAGAGAGGACTGGAAAGGGGAAAGGATATCCAATGAACAAAAGAGACATATCCAACTCGCTCACCCGATTAGGTATTAATACCTTCCTTAACGCCACACGATGCCATAGTTGAGACAGTGAAAGAAAGAACAAGACCGCAATCATCAATCTAGACAACAAGGGAGGCTATGTCTTTGCCTTTTTCGTTGCCCCTTCCGCGTTTGGTCCACTATCAGGGCTCTTGCGCTTCTTTTCTTGATCGTCTTCTCGCGCAAAGCTGGGGCCTGTTTGAACGGCGGGAGTGGGAAAGGTCAGAGGACTAGGAAGCATATTACTGTCCGGACCAGACCGGCCAAACCCCCATTCAGGGAAGAAACTAGATGGAGAAGGAAGAAGCGCATCTGACACGAAGCGGCTAGGAAGTGCAGATATCGGAGTGTCTATGTTGTTGTTATTGCCGCCGCTGCTGTTGTTACTACTATATGCATTGTTATTCGGAGCAGCGGTGCTAGGGGGAGGTGGCCGGGCAAATGGATTCGGTGGTCCCTGAGCGCCTGCACTGAGAATTGCACCGGCAGAAGGCGAAGGCGGAGGTAGCACTACACCGGAATGGTTGCCGTCAGGATTGGCTTTCGCTGGTGTAAGTGTCTTATTCCCTGCGGAATCGCGGGAGGATGAATCTGCTGTTGCGCTGCCCCGATCCGAACTCTCGCTGGGTATTTGCACCTTTAGCTGTGGACGTTTCGTATTTAACTGACCGCTGTTCGTCCGAACAGGAGGCTTGATCTCAGGCACCGGCTGAGGACGAGGCGCTTCAGTCGCGGCTCGTGGTGGAGGTGGAGGCGCCACTGGTTGGCTGAGTCCCTTTTTGTCCTTAGATTCGTTATGTGAAGATTCAAGCTTCACTTGTAAGTTCTCACTGCGCGGCGACGTAGGTGGACCGACTCCAAAGTGACGAGCCAAGACAGAACCACGATCATCAATCGGCGTAAAGATACTACGTGATTTTGATGATATCGACCTTTGCTGCGGCGGCGACTGACTGTCTTCGCCTTTCATCGGTCCAGGCATCTGTCCGCGGGAGGAGCCTCGGGAAGCGATACCGTTCGCTGTTGTTGTTGCGTGGGTTGTTGTTGTTGTTGCTGCTGCTGCTGCTGCTGTTGCTCCGACGGGAACGCGGGCGGCATGGAACTCCTTCCCTGTTCCGGCATAAATGTCTGGGCGACCTGGGACATTTGCGGATGGGGTGGTTGCGATAAACCCATTGGAGGTGTTTGCTGTGCAAGGATATGCGCATGCTGGGGGTGCTGTTGAATATGCGGTGGAATGGCCTGGGGCGGCATTGTGTGCGGCGGCATGGATTGCGGCGGCATAGGCTGATGCTGATGATGCGGGGCTGCATGATGTACGCCGTGCGGAGGGCCAAAGTGTGCAAACTGACCGGGTCGGGGTTGTTGACCTAAAGCATGGTGGGCATTCGGATTATACACGGAAGGGTTAGCCATATAGGCAAATCCATTCTGAGGTGGCGGTGGTGTGGCATGATGTTGCTGTGTACCGATATTGGAGCTGACTCTGCGAACATGATTCCTGGAGGATGGTCTTGAAAGTCCTTGAGGTTGAGGGGTACCGTGACGCGGATCAAACGGCAGTCCATTGCCAATGGGAGGGGACGCGGAAGGCGCATGATTAACATGTTGGAAGCCGGGATGACTGGGGAGATGAGTGGGTATCATCGGTGGGTTATTTTGCGGTGGTGTTGGATGCATTTCTTCAGGGGCAGGTGTGGTCTCGTCTTCATCGTCGTCATCATCGCGCCGGCCGTTGAAGTCCTCAGGGCCTTTATGCTCGTGTGGCGGGCCGAACTAAAGGCAAAGTATGCCATGTTAATACGATGACTCGGCATCATACAGTTGGAGAGAGAGACGAACATATTGATAACGACCCAAGGTCTCGCGCATATCACATGATGAGAATTCATATAGCTTCTTGTTGTGACCGAATATAATGACAGCAACATCTACTGAACATAGCACCGCAAGCTCATGTGCCTTCTTAAAAAGACCACCCTTCCGTTTCAGAAAAGTACTAAAGACCAGGGCATCATGTTAGCTCTTTAAATTCCACGCAGCGAGAAAGCATAGACATGGGACTTACACTGAACGGTTGCGATCATCCTTGATCGCCTTGATCTCGATCTTTCGCCGACCCATGAGGGATACAGTGTGAGCGTATCACACAAGGGTAAAGGGCGTAGGTGAAACACCGAAGGCAGGATCAATAGCGAGTAGACGTGAGGTTATGCGTCTTTGTATGAATTAGTGGCGCGAGTTGAAACCCAGGGAAGCGCCCAAAAAGAAAAAAAAAAAAAGAATCCAGAGCGCGGTGGAATAAACGACTGTGTTTGCTAGGCTCCTTTCTTAGATTTCCCCCCTTTAATTTTCTTTTAATTTTAAAAAACAGGAAGATTAAAAAAGAATAACAAAAATAACGAAAGGCTGTAAACAAAACGTTTCAATCTCTCCCAAAAGAAGTGGGGACAAAGAAGCAGATGAAAAAGAATGCGAGGGTACAGATAGACAAGAGGGGTGAGATTGGCACAGCGCTATTTGGAGGGATGAACCAACGGAGCGCGTAAAGGCGACGGCGTCTTACCGGTCGGAGGAAGAACAAGGGACCCCCTTATGCAGGCAGGGACTAGAGGAACCTCAGGTCACCAAGGTGAAAACGAGAGACAGAACAACAGATAAGATGAGCCAAAGTCAATTCTGGGATGGGATACGAAGGATGGATGGATGAGAAAGGCTGGATGGTTGGAGCGGCGACACGCGGGTGATGCAGAAGATTCTAAAGATAGACATCGACTGTGGGAAACTTCTTAATCACTGGACCTGTCGGCGGCTACGGGCAGCCGCCGTTGGCGAGCTTCTAACCGCCGCCCGGGCTATTTATAGATCCGTTGCTGACTGCTCCATGAACCCCAACCACTAGGTACATATACCGATCACTCCGCCTCCTTGTGGTCCAGGTTTTTGATCGATATCTCCTGGTCCCGATGAAACCTTAGTTCCGGCCTATCACCATTCTCAATACAATCCAATGAGGTTGCTGTCCTACCGAGAGTAGAGTTACGTCCGGGTTTCACTAATCAGGTCCATCTCACGTTGACGACTCCAAGGGTTGCGTACCAGTAACGATTTCATGAAGTCGATTTTGTCCGCTCTCATCATGCTGCACTTTATGATCATCCCCGCTAATAAGAAGGCCATCTTGAGCTCGCATTGACCCTCTCCAAAGAAAGCCTAAAGACTAAGTAGTTAGACTAGCCGGTGGTGCCAGCTATGGGCTTGACCGCCTGCACAAGGATGGAGGCATCAAGATACATGCCTGAGGCAGATGTTATCAAATTACCTAACCAGTTTAGTCCCTAAACTCGACACGGGTCCAGACTTTCAAATTTGCAGCCGCCTTCCTTCGGCCTTCGTCGGACTAGGCGGTAAAGGGCCCGCTGCTTTATCAGGGTGGTGGATAACGGGATCATTGGGTTGAACTGGCAGAATTGCTCCAGCTGAACCCCTATCCCTGTTGATTGGACCGTCTTCCATGACCAGTCACGATGATCAACTCAATGGATTTGATCTGTCGCCTCGCATATTCTAGTGTCAAGGCAAAAAGCCAAGCATCGATGTGAGGCGAAGAATTGGGTAATGGTATTTGATTCTGATTCTACGGAGTCGTGTTGTTTTTCTTTGGTGTATTTTGCTCTTGATGAGATACGTCGGATGTATGTCGACGACGTTGATAAGCAGGGAACAGTTGTCATACAACCAAGTCGAGTCATGCGCCCCTACTAAACGTACATATGCAGTGTCCATCTCTGGATATGGTTAATTGATTGGTTATAGATCTACTCCATACCTAATATACATCATGAATTCTACCTAACTGGAGCGACCGACATGGACGCAAATTCTCTGTTCAAGGTTGGGTACGAAAGAGGTTACTACCGACGTACTGTATGGATCCGACTCCATGGTATGATACGGTATTCTGCCTAACCTCTTTTTGCTCGACCCTGATACCTTAAATTTTAGCATGGCATCATCCTGACCACCAGGTTTCAAGAAGGAGGGGAGAATTTAATTAACACCAGGCCATTTCTTTCCATATCCTCAACACTGGCGTCGAACTCTTCCTGGTTCATCCTTTCTAGGAAGGCTTCCAAGGTATGGAAAGAAAAGAACTTTGGGTAGCGGATCGTGAACAATGAATGAACCGGCGTTCGTCTGGTCCTCTTGGATTCCAAGCCAATTAATTGGCGTCGATGGAGGGCGACTGAACCATGGATAGAGCAATGGGCTCGGAGGGTATTATTATTTCACCCCTGAAACGAGCAACACAGTAGATCCTCATCATCAATCGTCCTTCCAATCAACCTCTTCTACCTCGTCGCTTTTTCCTTTTTCTTCTCTCCTGTCCCTCTCCTTCTCTTCCTCCCATTATATCTTCTTCTTTTTTTTCGCCGTTATTAATTTTGTTTTACTCCGATTCATTCTGCCCGTCGGTCTTACCAGCTCCACATTCCAAGCTTAAAAAAACGTGGAGATTGCACTCGTTACTATTCAATTTCCCAAATTCTCTGCAGGTCGATTGTGGCCTTATTGCCATTAGTACAGTATCGCTGCACGCTAGACGTGCTGCCCCGTCTGGGCTGCAGGCGATTCTCTGACCACCTGAATGTCCTCCTACTAATTCGATTGATCTTTTATTTTTTTTGATCCATTTCAGTTCATTTTTATTTTTCTCTTCTTGTCTAATTTTTTATTTTTTCTCTTTCTCTTTTTTGTCTTTCTTAGACTCCAATCTATTGAATCAACTTAAGAAGTCTTTCCCTTTTGGTTTTACACCTCATTTTCCTTAGCCTGTTATTTATACGGCTTTTCTCCTATTAATCTACAGCCGGTTGCCCACTCACACGGTCGAGCGTGGAATCGTGAAGTCTTCCTCTTTAGATTCGCTAATCGACTCGTCTTAAGACGGCCACTTCTTGACCGTGCCTTAGAAGGTCGACTTCCCCAACTTAATACTTAGTCGCACCTTTCACCTCAGGAGTTCAAGAAGCGCAAGGTGAAAATGCCGTTCCTCGCCCGCGTTTTTCGAATCAAGGACTCTCATACTCCCAAAAAGACCAAAGCTCCTGTGGTAGAAAATAATGGCCCTCCCAAGCCAAAATGGACCGACGCGTGGCAGCGAACTGAAGTATCTCCGGAAGAAGTCCAGGATCTCCTGCGAGGTTGTACGCAAGAGTTGAAAGCCAGAGGTAGGTTTCCCTTCTTTCTTTTTTTCTGTGCCCCCTGACGTCAATGCCCCTCCGTCGACAATTTGCGATAGGCGCATTCTTCAAGTTGCTGATCATTGCCACGCTTTGTCCTCAACAGGTCTCCAAACACCTTTCCTACTATTACCCTTCCGGCCAGCCTCCGACGCCAGCGCTGCACGTACATTCATCCGCAACTACTTCAATCAAGCCCAGGCGAAAGGCTCGCCTCCTAAGGGAGATGTCTTAGCGCAAGAGCTCCGACTGACGGACCCAATTGTAAGCCACCCCCGAACCCCTTATGCGACGGGCTCAATTACCTTTGTATCCATTGTCTCCGCTTACACGGGTATCTCAGGTCCTCTGTAGTGTACTAAAGTGGTGTTGGAGCAGACTTCCTGGTGGAGTTGTCACATGGGACGCCTACGAATTGTTTAGAATTGGTGAACAAGGTCCGTATTCAGATGTCTCCGACGCATAGCGGTGGTGTATGCTTATTAAACTACAGATTCTCAGCTTGCCCGCGATGCATTCTCAACGTTCATCCCCATTAGCGTTGACTCAGATGCCAGGTCTAAGATCATTTTCGACTTCTTCGATCTTTTAACCGCGATTGCGGCGCATGGGAAATCCAACGGCCTGGGAGGACGAAAACTCTCTCGGTATGCCGGGTGGTGGGCATTTGAACATACAGACACTGGCAATGGGTTTGAAGCGGCCTACAAGGACTGGGCAAGGTATGTAGTACTGACGCCAAACGATAATTAATGGCTGGTTAACTCCTTGTAGCGCCGCGGATGCGACAAGCCACTTGTTCTTCGCATACCTACGTTCGCTGTCCCCTGACTCGCCGCGCGGGATGAGCAGTATCTCTACCCTACCCATTGCTTTGCAAACATTGCTTCAAGCCACGGAATACCCGCCGGAGACGCCAGCGCTTCTTCAAGTCTCTACCACTAAAGTTGTCATGATTGTCGACACTGTGTCTGCCACCCCTTTTGCTCTTTTACGCCGCGCAAAGAATTTCGAGTATCGAGACAGCGACAGTCACCTGCAGAAATTTGCTAGCTTCGAAGACCCCCTCCAAGCGCTGACGGATGAATGTCTCCGTGTACTGAAATGCATCTCGTCTACAAATCAATCGGTTGAATCGGATCCAACCTCCGCGACCAGAGAAGCGTCGTGGTCCAGGTTTGAAGATTTAGGTTTCGGGGCCACGGATGTTGACGACGACAGAACGTCGAGCATGGTGTCAAAGGAGTTCGGTGGCGGTCTGAGGTCTGTTCCTCAGTCTGGTGGAGGCGATCTCGGTCGTCCAACAACTCCCTCATGGGCAGACTTCATGTCTTCTGGTTTCAGTGATGACAACGTCTTCAAAGGTCCAGTGGCGCCGGTGTTGCTCCCTCCCGATAAGGTATTGCCCCCCATCAATACTATTCGAGGCCAAAGCTCGCAGTCCCATAAGCGTACTTTGAATACTGAGCCGTCCGTGGACCCTGGTGAATTGGCTAGTATTACCACTCTTGATCTGGATGACTCATTCTGGTGGGTGTGGATTAGCAGTTTGGCAGGGGAGGAACCAGCTTCCCGAAAGGCAGTCTTTGGGCGATGTGCATTGCTCGAGACTGTCATCAAGAATACGAAGTGGCTTGTCCTGGAGGAGCAGGTTAAAGGCGCGGCACCGGAGCCCGAGCCTGGTGCTTATATCGTCGAGAAGAAGGGTTTCTTCGGGTTTTCCACGCGCAAGAGACTCGGGCGTCGCAAGTCCTTAGCCAAAAAGGTTAGCGCGGTAGAGGAGTCTTACAAGCGGCCTGATAACCAAGGACCGCAAAGTAAGACCAGCATCGGTCCTGACCAGCATGCTCGTATTCAGGCTGCCGCCGCCGCCCTTCAAAG